AACATATACAGTAGTAAGATCTTAAATTGTACCAGCTAGGTTTGCCTGGAGCTCACCTAACCTCTCTTTGAGGTTCCACCATGCTCTTGGATCGTATGTAGATGACGACTGAATCGCCTAAGCCACTCTTTCACTGATCTCCCAGCATTATCACAGACAGGTAACAGCCCTACTGGCAACTCCTTTATGCTGTCAACAAAGACCTGCTTCCTTACTTCCTACTTCCCATCAGTCAGGAGAATGACTTGCTGGTTTTGGAATCACTGGTGCTCCTGGCTGATCTACAAACTTCCCTTAGACCCATGGCTGGCAAGGTCATGAACCCATCGCAGGGTATTGCTGATTGTCCTACTGTTAACAAAAATGGGCGATGCTTTCCCCATAGTTAGTTTTTCCATTACAGTACCAAGTGCTCCAAGAACTGTAGCTTGTGTCCAGCCCATTTACCGTGGTAACCATTTCCTTAACTGAGGTGTAGTCCCACACATGTGAAGCAATGTCAGTATTCGATTTTCTCTGAAAATAAAAATTTAGAAACTATATGTCAACAATGCCTTCATATAACCTGAAGTGAAGAAGCCTACACAATTCTGGGGCCAGCAGATGCACTAAGCATTGCACTGAGGGCAAGTTCTTGGATGCACATCCTTGTTCGTGTTGTTCCTCTTCTTTCAGGAACAGGGAAAATGAGTCTCAGCTCCCCCAAGCAGTACAGAGTCATATTCTCCTCTGGTTGGTACAGATCTGTTTTAGTGCCAAGTTATCTTTGCCTTTCTACATAGAATTTCCTGAAGCCCAGAACACATCTATTAGCGTTGCTGAGAGGATAAATCCAAAATGAGAAACCTAAAGGTGTCTTCATAAAATCATAGAATCATTTTGGTTGGAAAAGACCTTTAAGATCAAGTCCAACCATTAACCTAACACTACCAAGTTCACCACTAAACCATGTCCCTAGCACCTCATCTACACATCTTTTAAGTACCTCTAGGGACAGTGAGTCCACCACCACCCTAGGCAGCCTGCTCCAATACTTGATAACCCTATTGGTGAAGAAGTTCTTCCTAATATCCAACCTGAACCTCGCCTGGCACAACTTGAGGCCACTTCCTCTTGTCCTACCATCTGTTACTCGGGGCAAGAGACTGACCCCCTACCTTGACACAACCTCCCTGCAGTTAGTCGTACAGGGTGACAAGGTCTTCCCTCAGCCATTTTCCTTGAGCCTAAATAACCCCAGTTCCCTCAGCCACTCCTTAAGACCTGTTCTCTAGGCCATTCATCAGCTTTGCTCCCTTCTTTGGGCATGCTCCAGCACCTCAATGTCTTTCTTGTATTGAGGTGCCCAAAACTGAACACAGTACTCAAAGTGTGGCCTCACCAGTGCCAAGTGCAGGGGCACCATCACTTTCCTGGTCCTGCTGGCCAACCCCATCTCGGCTCCAACTCAGCACTGAGCCTTAAATTTGCTGTCAGTTTGTTTGTTGCTTTTTTTTTTTTTCTTCACTAAATTTTCAAGACTGAGGCCCCCTCAGTGCTTAAAGAGGTGTCCTGAACACGCATAGAGGACTACAACCTGGTTAAGGCAGGCTGGTGCCCTCCCATACCAAAATTGGCGTCTCAGACAATCACAAAGCACTTGGTAGCTGTCAGCATACTCGGGCTGTCCTGTGAACCCCGACAATGACTCAGGCTTTCAAAATAGAAGGAAGCAGAATGAAAAAATGACTGGTTATCTGGTAATGCAGGCCTGCCTGCTCTCACCCCCAAGGCAGAAGGCCTGGGTCTCAGTCCCCATTCTTTCCACACTTGGAGTGCAGAGGTGCAGGCACTGGTCAGCTCAGGTCTGGAAGCAGAGTATCTGCATTGGAGCCAGTAAGATGTGCTGGGCTCCTGCTCTGCTTCTCTACTCCAGCTGGCTTGGACCCAGACAGCTCAAGTTTCTCTGCATACCACTTCCCTGCTCTCCAGATTCTGGAGCCAGCACAGGCAGATGCAGCCCAGATCTGTTTGCACACAGGATTTCAGTTGTTTTCCTGCTACACAAGGCAGAGCAAACAAAGATGGAAGGGGCAGCAGCTGGAATTACACAGCTTTGTAGAGATTCCATAACTGTGTGCACATTTCCAGTAGCTGGAAATAAGGAGACACTTTTCAAGTATTTTGCACTTATAAAATACTGCTAAGTAAAGGGAAATTCACCCATCCTGCAACCCTAAGAGCTGCAGCTGCAGAGAGGAAGCCCAGAGCAGTAAGCAGTTTGCTTGCCACTTCTGCTTTCCTCATGCAACAAATCCTTCTCCCGACTGGAGGGAGCATTCTTACCTGCTAAGAAGAATTAGCAGTAAGATAGAAAACAAAAGGGCTTTTTTTCCTTCCCTCCTGCTCTCTGCCTGGAGCAATTTAGAGGAAGTGTGATTTCTCTGAGGAAAATAATTGCAACCTGAAGCTGCTGTACCATCTTCTGGTTAATAGTGCGTGAAGGCTTTCAGGGACCTCCTCAACCACTTCCCTTGAAAATCTAGAGGACAAAAAACCAAAAGCATATTATGCTGCTAGAGATGAATGAGGGATGAGACAGATGAGGCATATCTGTGATTCGTGGGTTTTTGTGCATGATCTGGTCAGTCTGAAGGGCGTTCATTCTTCAACTGAATCATGATGCAGAATTATTCCTTATCTCACTGTCATCCTTTCTGTATAGTTACTTAACTATGTTCCTTACAAGAATTCACACTGCCTTTTTCTTTTCCTCCAATCGGAAATGAAAAGAGAAACAATTGTGGTAAGAATGACATAAATTTAAGTATGTGCTTTTATTTTATACTTTCATGGCACATTTTGATTTGTAAACATTAAATTACCAGTCTCCTTTATATGTTGAAAATAACCACCAGACATTTGAAAGCATTTCCTGAGATTTAAAAGAAAAAAAGAGAGAGACCTGGCATCTTTTGCCTTATTCGCATACAGTACCATTTTAGGAAGAATTACAAAAGGGAATGTTTTCCAAAATAGGTCAGTTTCCTTTTGGCTATAAAGACATAGAAAATACATCAAAAAACCTCAGGCTGATCAGCCTTATTCAGAGGATGTTGCAAATCACTGTTTCAATTCCATTAATGCATAGCTGAAACACTGCATCAGTCCTGCAGCAGCCTGATATCAACGCTGTCGTGGACACCTTGCAGAAGTAGCTCCCCTTCGTAACTGACAATCTTCCGTCGCTTTGCAGCTTTAAGAGTTCCCACCAGGGCTTCAAAGAGGTTGGCACACTTTTCATCAGCAAAGAGCACACCGAATTTCACACTCACTTGCCCATCAGCATCTAAATTGAAGATAAAACATGAAAACACATGCAGATTTTCCTTTAGTTAGGAGATTACCGAAGGAACAAAGTGATACGCAGTCAGGACGTTTAAAGTAAAGCCTATAGTGTTCTCCAATTTATTGGAGAACATATTATGAATGCTGATGATCTACAGTAGGCAGAACTTCTGCCTGGTGTGACTTTCCCTTTTTTGCAGAAACTCACATCAAGAATCAAATATCTGCTACGTTTATTTTTTCTGATGACTTTCTGAAACCTATGACCAGCACAGGCTATTGAACCTCTTCAAAGCATACGGAGGAAAGTAGTTTGAAATAATTAAAATGTTAATTTGTGTTTTCTGCGTTTTTTTCCCACTTATTAATATTGAAAGTTCACATTGAAAAAGCTGTAATGTGAATTAATTTCTCACACAAAGGAAGAATTTTGAATATACACTAAGGTTACCAAGGTTATTCCTAAAAGGCAGATGTGGTCATACAAAATGCAAGACGTGCATATCCATTTAGGTTTTGAAAGACAAACTGAACGGAAGGAAATTGTATCAGAACTGCAATGCATCAACAGGTAGCATATCCATAAATCACACAAATATTTGTAAAGAAAGAGGACTTTTAACAATGAAAACAAATCTTAAGAGAAAAGGACACCTTCTAAGCAAGCTTAAGGAAGGTTGGGACTGCACCTGTAACTCCTGGATTAGTTTCAGGCATAAAAGTCAGCACCTTCCAAATACTACTGTGATGAACAGAACTGAAGTGTATAAATTCTGAAGTTACCAAGAAAGGAGGTGGAGTGAAACAGTGCAACCTTCTTCTTTGGTGGCTTAAACAAGTATTAAAAGTGTAAAGAAAAGGGTGATTTTGCAGTTGATTTTAGTGGGAAAGGATTCCAGGCCTACATCCTCCATGCTGCAGAGGATTAAACATTTATCTTCATATCAGAACTACCTTAAAGGATGGCCTGCAGGGAGTACCACACAGTCCAATATTAAGTACATATGCAAGTTTTCAGGTTACCTGAGCCTGTTTCATTAAGTTTCCCAAGTTCATAGGTTGACATAACAAGTTTACATCTGTATGACATGTATGTCTGCGCAGTTTAGGGTCTGGACCATCCCCAAACCAATAACAGATGCTTTTAAACTACCCCACCCCCTTCCCTGACACCCAAAGGGGAAGGGGAAGAGAAAGGGAATAAGGGAGAGAGACTTATCGATTGAAAAGGGAAACAGTTAATTAGAAGAGCATTAGCTGAAAAGTAAAATCACTGAACAAAATCAGCTCCGTTCTATATATATATATTCACTACACATACATGTATGTATAACGTGACTATATCTGTATGGTCAGAGGCATTATACTTACTTCTGGTTCCCAGTCGCTGAATCTCCTCAACTAGGAGGCTAATTTCATGTTCTACATTCATTGTGGTCTAAAAAGTAAAATAAACATTGCCAAAGTTATTAGAAGATCTGTAAATCTTTTGTGGCATCCTGGCCTGTTCTCATTTCATTAGGAATGCCACAGCACTTTGTAAATCCCAGCAGCCTGGGGACGCATGGCTGCAGGATAATCTGAGGTTTCAGTCTTGAAAGGATGAAGAGCCTCCACACTTCCACATGTGAGGGGAAATGAACAAAAAAAACCCCTTCAACCACAGTGCATTGTAAACACAAATATAAGGAACTAATATCAAAAATAAAAACAGTGGGCAGGTTAGGACAAGAGCGGTGGTGGTGGTGATTTGTTTTAAACAATGAGCTTAGGTTGCCACAAAATCACAGCATCCTGGTACTGACAGAGGTCCTCAGGGGCTTGACAACTTTCTGTCAGTTCCCTCAATAAAAACAGAACATCTTCCTTTAAATTCCTCTCGGGGATATGAGATATGTAATACATTGAGGTTTTAAAGCACACCACAGATTTCCACTTATCCTGACAAGGTACTGCAGACATCCAGCTGGTTACAGCAGGTCTACACATGTGGTGCCTGAAAGGGCAGCAGCTACCACGTGCCTGCTACTGAAAGCAGAACTGCAGGCACCAGAAAGGTGGTGTGGGATCTGTGTGATGCAAAGCGGCATCAGCAGGCTGAAACGTTTAGATGCAGAACTACTTAAGCAAAAACTGACATCGAGGTAAGCAAAAGAAACTGGGCCCCAGAGATAAGCAAAGCGTACAAACAGGAGGAGACAAACCACATGTACTAACAATGCAGCCTGGAACAAAAGCTATAGAAAGAGCGTCTGGAGCTAAGCACTGTCCATAAAGGGCTCAGTGAGCACTGAGACAGAACCTCTCCATTGTTCAAGAAAGCACGATTTCTGCACAGATATGGTAAGTAAGCAGAGTTTAAAAAAAGACATCTGGATGCAACACAAACTCTTCCCAAGAGAAAAGCTTCACCTTTTTTTTTTTATATTTCAGTAGTTAAGAGTGACACAGCTCCCCCTGATGATTTATCCCAGATGCAAAACCCCTTTGTAACGGCGTCCGATTTTCAGTTCCCAAATTCACCAGCAAATATCTGTCTTTTTAACATGCAAATTTTGAGCAAGCTTGGTACCAACGGGGGTTGCAGGCAAAGCCCCATCCAAACCGCAGTCTCATCCCTGAGGCACGCAAACAACAAACACCGAGGTGGGCAGTAACAGACCAGGACGGAACATTGCAAGAGGATGATGCGCTGCCGTGGCACCACCTCGGCAAAGCTGCCTTAAAAGGGCACGGCAGCGGGGCTGCAGGGTTTTAACCCGCTTACAAGACCGCGACAAAACTTTTCGAGTTTGTTTAACTGAGCGCCAAATATATTGTTACAAAGCACCGAGGAAAATATGACCCATCCACCAAAAAGCTTACACTATCATTACCGATTTGTCAAACTGCCAGTTTTACTATCGGTCATTACAATGGCATACTCGGCTTCTCTTTAAAGCTGCTCTTTTAACTTGAAAGGCTTTTTCACTTGAACTTCAACCTCTTTCACTTCACGCTAATTTAAAATAATTTTCTCTCATACACACTCACTGATCCTCCGAA